TCATGAGTTGAGGGCCCCCACCCCCCCCCCCCCCCCCCGAAAAGGTGTGTGGCACCCTCCCTGCCGTCAACACCCCTCAGCCCTGTACCTTGAGCCCCACATGCTGACAGAGAGGTTACCAGCTCACCTAGGAGGTGCAGTGTTCTCTGCAGACACTGTACACAAGAAGCATCATATAAATGCACCTGGTAAGGAGTATCAGCAGAATAAGAGGAGACAGAGAAAACAGACAGAGATTGCAATAGCTAAAGAAGCAGTGGATGCATTTTGACCAAGAAAAGAGGTGCGGTCTGTCAGAAGAGATTTGTGTCTTTGCCTGGTATGTGTGTGGTCCAGAGACTGCCAGACTAATGATGTGTTTTTCATCTACTTTAAAGCCCATTTCACCTCTGCTGGTACCAACTGAAAGGCATGGCAAGGCAGTTACAATAAATAAGAATCATGCATGTGCTGCTCACCATAAATCACTGCCTTTTCTTTGGGTGATGTAGAAGTTGGACTAACAGGAAACAACCGCCATGTTCTCTCTTAAAGTCTTCTTCTTTTGCCTTCTAATAATACTGCTATTACTAAACTCACATCCAAAATTCTATATAATTTACAGCATTTCTATAAAGTTTCCTCGCTTTTCCTATGTCACTTATGTTGACCTGCAAAACTGGTCTGATATATTTCATTCTGGCTCCTGCTAAGTTCAGCTTGCTTTTTGTAGGGGAAAAAGACTGTTTTCTTCTGAATAAAAACAACAAATCAGAAATCTAACAGTCAGAATTTACCTTGACTCTCAGGAGTCTATGGTCCTTAATTTGCATATATCCCTAACTATCAGATGCAATAAACTTATCTCCCAACCACATTATGCTCCTATCTTTGTACCTTTACACTATCTCTGATCAAAATGTCTTTTACGTTTGCAGCTGCAGAATCACTGCATTTTCACTCTGGCTTTAGAAATACTCCACAAAACAGAGCTGGCAAGAATTTGCAGCTGCAGAATCCATTTTCACTCTGGCTCTAGAAATACTCCACAAAACAGAGCTGGCAAGAAAGTAGAAGCAAAGGCTGGCAACTTATTTGGCTGTTGATTTCAGCTCCTGAAGCATTTTTAAAGTAGTCTCAGAAATGGAGCAAGCAGTGACTACCTTTTGGTGCCTCCCAAGGACCTTCTCACATAAGGATTTTTCTACATTTGCTTACCTCCTCCGTGATATCAATCTTCAGAACTGCTGTGGTACTGAAGGATGGGGAGCCGCGGTCTTTGGCCTGCACCACCACTGACCATATGCAGTCTTTGTTATTTGTGATGTTGTGGATGATGTCCAGGGAGCGGATGTAGGATTTCAGCTTGATTTCCCCAGTGCTTTGGTCTATATCAAAAACGTTGGCTGGATCTGCTTGCATGATGGAATAATCCACAATGTTGTTGGGTTCTTCTGCATCTTGATCTATAGCCTGGTAGGGGAAGTGCAAAGAGCAATTATGTTATTGTTTGTATCTTTGCCTGAAGACAAAACTCCACAAGTTTCTGTGTGTTCACTTCCAATAATATCCATGCTGTGAGATGATTGGGCTGCTTTTATTTCATCTTGGAAATAACTTCCCTTTTCTGGTAACAGCTATGCTACATTTTCTAGTGAAAACCAGCAGGACTAGAGTTCTTTTTGTATGAGTGATTTCTATTTGAGATTAAATAAAATCAGAGGAAAAAATTAACTGTAGAATGGAAATGGTCCACTGCTGGGGATTTTCTCACACAGCGTGGGCGACAAATGTGAATAGAGAACAACAGGATTAGCTTCACACTATAAACTACAGCTGCCTTTATTTTTGTTTTGTGGCATTTATTCTACTAGCATTAGGTGTTGCGTAACCAGGCTTCGCTGTATGAGTCGAAATACCTGCAACACAGGATGTTCTGCTCCTTTGCCTCAGAGTTGTTCCTGCGGTTTTTTTTTAACCTTCTGTCCCACACTGGATCAATGAATACAATTCTGCAAATGATGGGAATGAACTTGTGTGGTTGAGAACAATGGTGTGGCAGGAAGGTTAAGTATTTAAACCCCATTAGTTCACTCATCTTATTTGGGCTTATTATGATCACTGTATGATTCAGAATCCTCCACCAGCATTTGAACCAGATGGTTCAAAAACTGTAACAGAACTTTATCTTTTGCCTATAGAATTCATTTCTCCTCAGCAGTCTGTAAATACTATCACTCCACACTTTAATTCATTTGTTACATACAAAAAATGGATGTGCAAAATAAAGGCCTATGAAAAGCCTGTTTTCAGGCATTCATCATGAACCCTGAGGAATAAACAGCAGAGCTGGGGCTTTTCCAAAGCATTCTGCTTCCTGACACACCGTGTTGTCTCTCACCTCTATCTTCACTGGTGACCCGATGATCATCGTCTTTTCCTGGATGTTTTCATTGAACTCTGGAGAGTGGTCATTGACATCCAGCACAGTGATAAACACTTCGGCCAAGCTGTATTTCCCATCCGTGTCCTCTGCCTTCACATAGAAACTATACTTCGAGTTCACCTCAGCATCTAATACAGCCCAGGGCTGGGTGTAAATTATACCTGTTGATGGGTGGATTAGGAACCTGGAAAAGAAGCACAGAAAGACTTTTGGTGGTTTTGATCATTTTATGTGTGTTTACATCCTGCAGCAAAGGTCAGCTCTAAATATTGAAATTCTAAAGCATGGTACTCTTCACCCTAACTCCTGTCTGGCTGATGTTTCCAAATCTTTCACTCTACCTATTCTTTGCTAGTTCCTTTAGGCTTGAAAACCACAGAACTATCAATGTCTTGGGTTTTGTGTGTGTTGTTTTTTTTTTTCTCTCTATCTATTGTGCCATTTAGCTTCATTGTCTGTTAAAGCCTTTTCCTCAATAAATGCTTAATGTGATGGCCTTCACCCAGAGTTATTTCTTTGTGTTAAAACTTTAAGGAACTGCCTGTTTTTTTTCAGTTTATAAGTACATTTGATCATATCCTGCATAATTAAGATAGATTGATCTCACCTCAATAACTAAGAGAAGAGTGCTGCATATCATATTTAAACTCTTTGCTTTTCAGAATGGGTAACAAAAATACCTGCTCTCAAGTCCTCCAAAGTGCAGGGAAAATTATCTCCTCCAAAAATAACTTTCCCATAGAGTGGCACTGGGATGGAGTGGGTGTTCTGATTTATCCGTAGCAAGTTCAATTCTACACATTTGTAATTACTGACACACTGTCAAAAGTGTCAGCCAAAGCCCTGGATTTATAGAGAAGATACCAACCCAGTGTCTTTTTTAAAATGGACTGCTAGTGTAGGCTCCAAGGGCTTATAACAGATGATCAATTTTATATGCCTTCTGATTAATGTACAGGATAACAAAATATTTTCTCTATTCCAACTTGGAACACAATTGGAAGTGGTTATAAAAGGGGCACTTAATGATCCGGAATCTTCAACTGTTTTCATTACCCTATTAAATTGAAATACAAGTCTTGATGAAAATCAAGACCTGGAGGTGGAAAGAGGCATAGAAACTCTAGGTAGGAAACAGTGCCTGTGTTGAGCACCCAACCCAGCCTAATCATGCAGAGAGGACTCCCATTTTAGTGAAAGAATATAAGCACTGTGATGTGAACAGATGACTGCAGTGTGCTGCGCTCCCACTGGCAGCTTGAATGTAGGATTATCAGTGTAGTGCTTGTATCTTCAACAGTTAACACTATTCCTCTTACTCCAGCACAACTCCTCTTTCTGCCAACGCAAGTGCATATCCACTGATGTAACACCTGAGACAGAAAAAATCATGCCTGAAATGGAAACTGTCAAATCTGGACCAAACTCTGTGTTCAGCAGACCTGGAGGTCCCAAGGCTGGGAAATCAATCCAGCCTTGCAGAGGCATGCCATTCTGGCATAAGAGAAGAAAAAAAAATATAAAGGAAAAAAAATATGAAAGTCTTTGCATCTTAATTTCCTAATTCAACATAATCAGAACAGTGAGTCTGAGCATCCCTGTAACTCCAATCACAATTAATTTGCATTCACGTTCTTTTCTAAATCCTTCATAACAACCCTCACGAGCCTCTTTGCACCAGCTGCTACATTTTAAATAAGAGGTCTGCCTGCATGACATGACCTTTGCCTGCTTGCCTCTGTGCAGTTAGTAGCTAGCTTAAGGATTTAGTGAAGAGCTCAGAATAATCCATCCTGGAAATGCTCCCATATGTGTATCCTTCTGGCTACAAGAGAGGTTCACCCCTAACATCTTGGATTTTGGACTTTGATTGTTCCTCTTAAACGGTTTTTACCTTAGCAAAATTAGGTCAGCTTTAACTCCAGGTGGATAATGTACAGTGAAAAACAGATTCCAGGGATGAATGCCTGAAAAGCTCTTTAATTTCCAGTATTCTGCTCTGCAGCCCCATTATGTCCAGGAGCTGCAAGTCCCAACAGGAATGGCCAGTGATGGCTATGGCTCTCCCAGACAATGGGCCAGAGCAACCACTGGGATGGAAGCAATGTGGGAAAAACTGTTCAGGATGTTCTTAGTCCAGCACTGTGCCCAAAGACAGGGAGAGGTAACTAGGCTGCATTACAAAATCAAGTAAGCATCAGATTCTCTTCTTCCCTGCTGCAGGACTATTAGGTTTAAATATTTAAAATGCTTTGAAAACCCACTGCATCTGGCCTCTAATGCTAAAGTTTATATTCTTTAAAGTCTTGTCTTTCTTGATTTATTTTGCCATGAGTTGAAACTGGTTTGTACAGATATATGGAAAGGGAAGGGGAATTTTTTTCCTCCAGAATTGACTTTTCACAACAACTATACCAAAACCTCATCTTTTCTTACATGCATTTTTCAAATGGTAATTGAACAGGTCCTGTGTATTGGTAGTCAGCTGCCTTATGTCTCTTTGGGGGCTTGTGGGTAAGATTGCATGGGTTCATGAAGCAGATGTTTAATGATCACACTAGTTTTTCTGTTGTTGTTTTCACAGAATTCAGAAAGAACATGGCATAAGTGTCCTTGGAAATGAGCAGGTCAAGCAAGAATGAGCCTATTCTTTTAAAACTCTGCTTAGAGAATATGTAGGGTTTAGGTTTTTCTGGTTGTTTGTTGTTTTTTTTGTTGTTTTTTTTTTGTTTGTTTGTTTTGTTTTGTTTTTTGTTTTTGTGTTTTGTTTTGTTTTTTTTACTTACAGATCTGCTCCTGTTCCATAGATAGAGTACTTGACTTCTCCCCAAAGCCCTGAATCTGGATCGGTAGCCTCAAGAAAAGAAAAAGTCACCCTTTACTGAATTGCAAAAAGAAACGTTCCATACTTATTTTATCAACAGTTCATGTAAAAACCTAAATGCTTTCACCTCTTTTTGCCATCACATTTTTAGGGGGAAATCACATAAACAAATGTGCAGCCAAAAAACTGCAACATCAAACACAAAGGAAATGTCACTGGCTGTCCCAGGGAAATTGCTAAGATTCTACCTGTCTCTTGGCCAGGCTGGTGCCCAGACTCTAGCACGGAGAAAGGCACTAGATGGCTCCATCTACTGACATTTAACACATCCACCCTTTAATGGAGATGAAGCTTATCTCAATGACACCAACAAACTGCCCACCCTCAAGCTTTCCTAATTACCAGTTAAATATTAATGTATATTCCCTATACAAAATTTACTGTAGAGTATTTTTTTAAGCTGCTTCTTGTTTAATTGATTCAATTTAAAGTAATGCATAACAAATGTTTCGATTTATACACAATGCAGTTTGGTTTATGTTTTAATCACTCTTGTGCCCACATGATTTTTGGTAACGTAGATACTACCCCGAATGATACCTTTGTTCCCGACTCTTGTTGGCTTCTGTTTTTAGCTCAGGATTAGGAAAGCTATCGATTTGGTAACAGCTGTTTCCACAAGCTCCTGCTTCTCTGATAGCTCTGAGGAATGTTATATTATACCAGTGTATCTGCCCATCAAAATTCAGGGTAGCAGTGGTAGGTTCATTCCTTTTCCTGTTTAACTATCTGAAAACTGGAACAATGTCTTTGGTTCCTGCATAGTTAACCTAACACACCTGTAGCCCTGCTGACAGGTGTTTTTCAGTTATTTGACATGAACTTGTCAGTGCGTCTCACCCCATAATTTTGACCACAGTCTACTTTAGGAATGCCAAACTTTACTAAAACATTTGTACACCTGGGACTTCTGCCAGAATTGCCATCCTGACTAACTGGAGAACCTCAGTTTGTCAAGTATATTTGTGAATCCAGGTAAAGTACTGAGTTGAGAGCATGACAGTAAATTTTACATGGGCTCCTCAGCTACACTGCTCTGTGCACCTCAGCTCAGAATGACTAGATTTGTTGCTTTTGCAAGTTTTAAACATTTCTGTTTTTGCTGTCCACCTTCTGGCATATTTTACTTCTCTTGCTGCAAAGATAGTGATGTTTGGGAGTCTCAGTTTTCTGCAGGTTTCCTATTAGTTTCCTCTGACAACCTTTTATGTATTGTTTATTTTCCACTTTCATTATTCCATCCTCAAAATTTGCCTTCAACGCTTTATTATTCTGATTAAGTTTCTGTCTTGCATCCAGCCTGTGCTCTGGCTCCTGCCTCCACCATCCTTACCTGCGAGGCCTCTGCAAGGTGACTTGCATCACCTACCAAGCCCCAAGCAGTCATGAACTTTCTTGGTTTTGCCAAAGGAGATCTTTTCTGGTCCTGGCAGCTGCATTAAAGAAATACAGCTCATACCCGTAGCTGGAAACACTTCTCCAGCACACAGGGCCCATGTCATATCCTAACTTACTTTCTATGAAAATGTGAGATACTTGAAAATCTACAGTCATATTTTTCCCACTGTAAGAAGATACTTACATAAGGATTTTGCTTCCCCAGCTCCAAGCGTTTTAGTTTTATATTCCTGCCTTCATTAACTGTCTAATTATGCATTTAGTAGCTAGATTCCTCCCAAGAGGAGACAACTAATACCTACTAAGCACCCATCTTGTTTTCTTTCAAATTGCACTTAGTCATAACAGAGTCTTGCCACTGGACACAGATTTGACTGTGATTTTCTTAGTACGCACAGACCATGTGATTTGTCTTAAAAGCAGATGGCCTTTAATTAAAAAACAAACTAAATTTGTTGTGAAAAATGTTTGTTTAAATTTAGTTATTTTTCAAACACAGTGGGGTTTTTATGTTGATTCTGGAAAGGAACTAGAACTCAGTCCAGAAGCTGAATGGTGAGTAAGTTTTGCTACTTGCCTCTGTCTACTGTTTTTAAGGTACTTGAACTGTCTCCACAGACATCTGGAAGAGAGAGCATTTGTTAAGAGATGACTTAAACTTACTGTAACAGCAACTACGTTAGAGCCCCCTGGAGAGTTCTCAGGGATCCTGGCAATGTAATAGTCTGATGAGAACTTCGGGACGTTGTCATTGGTATCCAGCAAGCGTATCACTATGTCGGCTGTGGAGCTGAATTTCTCTGGTGTGTTCACCTCCATTGCAAGAAGCTAAGTAAAGAAAACCAGGAAATCACAACAAAGCAGCTATTCTTACTTCTTACAGAAGCTTGCTTCCACTACCCATGACACATTGGTACATTTTAGCTTGGTTGGATCAAACAGTTCAAAACCAGGGAGATGATGAGTTGGGTCAGTGACAGCCTCGGCTTGTTTGCGCATGCTTGCAATGGGCAATTAAGCTGTGGAAAGAGGACTTCAAACCTGTGTATGTATATACACACACTGTGTATATATAGTAGTGTTTTTACTATGTCTCCATTTGCTCCTCAGCAGATCAGGGAAATGTCAGTAGGAAGCCTGGGCTAGCAGAGCAGCAAGACTATTGCTCAGGCAGCATGCCACTGAGCAAGGAAGAGCAGTTTCAACAACAGGTACTGAGAGACACTGGGTCCTTCACAGCCTCTGGTCCCTGCTAATGGCTGCATGACACAGAATCAGCCCTAAGACATCAGTTTTGGGCTGAACCCAAATGACCAACATGTGGTCAATCATTTGGTTTTCACATTTGGGCAGAGATGTAGTTAACACAAAGCCAAAGAGCTCCAGAAACCTAGTGATCACAACACACCATTAAGTGTGTATTTAACTGATATATGAGAGGCTCAGCTGAAAAATCTAGATGCATGGGTTTTAAGTCCCAGCAGACATGTTGCAGGAGCTCCCTCAAGCAGGATGAATGTGCCTCACTGAGAAAGGCTGTGGGAGCTCATCCTTCCCATGCCCCTTGCATGCACTTGACCTCTCTCCTGCCATGTCAGAGGTCCCTGTGGGACAGGTGGTAGGACAGACATGCCACTACAGTGGCACTGCTGGCTGGCTGGCTGTGGGGCACATGTTGTGTTTGGGTACCTGCTCTCCCAGATTTGGCAAAGTGTCACGGTTTGAGGAGGGTGAGGAGCAGCTTAAGTGAGCAGGGAAAAGGCTATCTCAGTATCATCTCTGGAGCTGTTCCTACTGTGTGAACACTGGTAATGGTTGGAAATAAAAAGTGAAAGGGCTCTTGAAGAAATTAATCTCGAAGGTTTGCTTCTAATTACTATAGGATACACCTGCTCTAAAAGAGGAGTTTGGTCACTGTGTCTATGTGTTTGAGAGTTTCACATGGTCTTACAGCAAAGCATATTTTTGCAGGGACAGTCATACACACATCAGCAAAACCCTGATCACGAGCAACTTCAGCTCCTAAAGCAGCACAGAGATAAAATCTTATTGCTTATCATGCATGTGGAGCAGTAACTATATTATAACACCTGCAGGGAAATAACCTTTGCTGCTGGAATCAGCATCTTAGAATATTTATGAAGGCTTAGTATTTTTACTTTGTTCTCTACATTGATTTTTTTATTCCTTCTCCTTTTAGCAGCTGTAGTCCAGCTATGTCAACATGCTGAAAACATCTTCCTTCAGGGAGGGATTTTTGTCAGCCTACTCGTGTGTAATGTCTTATGCAGAGTTGTATTCCTTGTTTTATGCAGACAGAGAAAAAATAGCATTAAACTACTGCTTCACAGGACCATGTATCAACAATTAATACAAGTTCCAGAAGAGCAAACTGAGATATAATCTCAAAAGTAGCATGTACATTTTTTAAATAGAGTTTGATTTTGGCAACTGAAGATAATTGCAGCTTCATATGGTCCCATTCTGCAGGAGATGTGAGCAACTGCAGAATGTGAGGGCTAGATCCAGGCTCCTGTCTAGGCAGGATGTATAAGCTGGAGGAGGTGGAGGTTTGGCCCCCAAAGCCATCTAGATGAGAGCTAAGAGGTCAGGCTGGAGGGGTATGAATTACCACAGCTGACATACCTTGGGAAACCCACTCTAGCTCTTGGATAGCTGAAAACAAAAGGGGCCCTGACTACCAGCTGCATTTAAGAGCCAGCCCTAAATGGAAGATAGATTTTCTCTGGTAGCCTTTGCTTCAGGCAGTTTTCCAGTGCACCTCCCAGTCAAATTAGCTCTAATTTATCTCAGGCATGTTACTGTTCAATAACAAACCACAGGAGAAGGATCATTGCTTACAGAAAAACAAAACCTTGAAAATAGCTTCTCAGAGCTGCTGGGGGATACATGTTAAATAGAAATAAGAATATATATAACTAGAATGACTACATAGGCAACTAAAACTGGGTAGGAAGCAATTTGAAATTTTTAGGGAAATGGAAACAGCAATGAAGTCTTTATAAAGTATTTGCTGCCACATATCACTATTATATCTACCAGCTGCACCTTCTTCATTTGGAATCTAGACAAAGGCTTTGCATTTTTATCAAAGCTTTATGGTCCTTCTCCAGTATAAATAATTTCTTTTTTTTAAAAAGTGAATAGCTGATTAAGGTAAAAAAATATATATCCTTTTCCCCACAAATTAATTTCAGTGTTCATGGCAATCACATTAACTACTTTGATTTCCATTAGTATTCACGAAGAGGCCACATGTAACTTCTTTACTGGTCTTTTGGTAGTTTAATCTGAATAAATGTGTGCTTATTGTAATTAGTTTTGGTAACGCTTTATATCTCTTTCAGTATCTTCCCTTTTAATACAGTAATGATGCCTCATATTTTTGTAGTATCTATAAGCTATGAAGCTCAAAATGACTAAGGAACATTAAAAGAGCAGACATGAATCAAGCTGCAGTGAAATGACTTGCTAAGGACACAAAGCAAACCATGTAGCAAGGGTGAGAACACAATCCAGGAAGCTGACTTCTGGATTGTACTAAAAACACCACTTTCTGTATAAAAACAAAACTAGCATATGCTGATACTCAGTGAGATAGCCTGGGCATTTTTTTTTAATGATTACAGGGATTCTCTATGCCATTCTTTGCAGTCAGAACTGAACCATCTATACTCATGCTCAGAGGCAGCTGACACAAACCCAAACTGCTTAGTGATCTTGTTGATAGGCCAACAAATCTGTCAGGAAAGGTGATAATGCAACTATCTAGCTTTTGGATGAAAGCTGGTTCCTGTATGGCTGGTTTGGAGCATGGGTGAGTTAGCCTTGGATCAGTCTGCAGATGGCCATACAGATAGATATACTCTGACAAAGGCAGTGAGCAATTTTGGGATATTGTCTTCCAGTCAGCTGAGGTCTTCAGCCTGCCAACATTCAAAAGTGTGATCATGAACCAAATTACTCAGGACTAAGCAGATAAAGTTCTGGCTTCAGAGAAATTAGGATTTCACCCTGTGAATTTATCATTGGAAGAAAAGAAATAACAACCTTAGGGTTTAGCCTAGAATGACTCAGAGCCACCAACATGTGCCATTTCCACAGAGAGATAATGCCCAACATTTGCACTGACTGGACTAAATTAGTCCACAGATGCACCCATTTAAACCTTTTGAAATTGACGAATCAGGAGCAGAAATTACTGTCCCTTACATGGAATATAATGTCACTGACAATGCATCAGACAGCTCCAGAAGCTATAAATCATATCAGATACATAAGCCATTATACACATCATATACACAGATAGAGAAGACTTGGAAAGCAGAAATACCTTGAAAGTTAACACCTTGAATTTTTCATAGTCAATAGCAGCAGAATTTTCCACTATTATTGTAACCTGAGCCTCATTCAGGACAGTTTGGGGAACCACTCGGAAGATGCCACCAGGTCCAACAAGACGGAGGTTGAATTTAGCATTGGCTCCCTGTGAATAAAAGCAGATATGGAATTGTTTTCAGTGAGTGATGCATTCCTCGTAGCCTACATTGGCTCTGTTTCTTCACACTGTGTAAAATTATAATGAGTCTTACTGCTTAGAGCCCTCTGCTCTCCATCTCCTAGCAAAAGACTGTTAAGAAGCTTAGTTATATAATCCCTCCAGCTCTGGTCACAAGATGGACATGGCTTTTCTTAAAATAGATTGACAAGCTTGGTTATTCTTTCAGTTATAATGGATAAACTCTGCACTAGGACTGGCTAAGAGAGGGACTTCTCAAAAACCCAGCCTGTGTCCTAGGAGCTCACAGTGTGGGATGATGCTACAGACCCACAAAGATACACAATTGCCAAACAGAGGTGGTATTCCATGCTTTGCACTGACTGGGTTAAGATAGCCTAGAGTTACAGCCCTAAATCTTTTGGAAGTTGATGCATTTAGGAGAGAGAAACTCCACTTGTGCAGGATGAAACATGACTCACATTTGATAGCTCCAGGTGAAGTGAGAAGCCAAATTCCCTAACAGAGATAAACCATATAGGCAGAGAGGACATGGGAAACAGCAGTATCTAGAAGGTTACCACCACGTGTGTGAGTTGGGAAGAGTGAGCAAGAGCCAGTGGCATTGGCTCTGACAGAAGCTGTTCTAGCAGCTTTTCACAGAAGCCACCCCTGTAGTCCCTCTGTTACTAAAACCTTGCCATGCAAACCCAATGCAAGATGAAACGGGGATTCTCGTACCTTTTTGTTACTGGAAAGGTGTCAAAATGAGCTGAGCCCATTTAACCAACTCTCTGAGTTAATCCGTTTCTCAATGTCACAGCTACATTCTGACAATCAGCCACATTCACTGCCTGGCTGGTGCCATGTTCTCCCCATAGCATGAATCTTCAGATGAAGAATTTCTAGTAACAAATTTCATGCAGGATAACTCTACTTTCAGCTGTATCCCTGGAGGACTTGCTATAAGCAGTTCTTGCTGCAAACCCAGCTCATGTCAAAAGGAAAAGTATTCAGCAGTAATCCCATGAGAGAACCAGAATGACCTTGGATCCAAACTCAGTGATTTGTGTTTGGTCATAAAAACTCCCATAGCTACACAGGTGACACAGACTCTTGCTGGGTAGTAAAGCCAAGCAGACAAAACCAGAGCTGCTAGACTATGGAAAATAATGCTGATGGGGCAGTGGAGTGTCTGACCATTCAAAGTCCTCTGTACTTGGGACTGCACATGACTGGAGTGATCGTGGCATGGGGCAGAGAGAGAACTGCCCCCTCCAGCTGTTGAGTGACTTCTGACAGCGATGTCCACCGAACCCAGATCTGCTCAGAGCAAGCCATGCTGCTGCACACTTGGGAATGCACATGACTGGAGTGATCATGGCATGGGGAAGAGAGATAACTGCCCCCTCCAGCTGTTGAGCGACTTCTGACAGCGATGTCCACCGAACGCAGATCTGCTCAGAGCAAGCCATGCTGCTGCATGTCTCCAAGCAGACAGCTGTAGGACACGGGAATGATTGAAGGAAGAACAGCACTGAGCCCTAAGCTATGTCAGTCAGATGAAAAGGATGAGGAGAGAAATTTCTGCATAATTTCATTGCGAGTAAAGAAGGCATTTCCATCAAACTGTAGGCCTAAAACAGACCTTGCCCACAGCTTCCTCCTCCTCACCTGTACCGTTCACTTCTCCAAAAGAAAGAATCACTAATGGCTGTGACAGAAACACACATATTCAATTTTCTCCTCTACACAGTCATCTTGTGTGGAAGGGAAAATGTTGCATTCTATACCTTAAAAGAAAAGCAACCCAACCCCGCCGGAGTGATGTCTTACACTGTGCTAAGAAGGTTGAGAAATCTATATAGTGTATATAGCAATGTTTTCTGCTTATTTTATAGCCTAACTTGCAGCCTGAACATTTTGTCATCATAAGATACATATATATTTTGTTTCAAAATAGAAGAGATGGGTTTTGTTTCTTTCCTTCTGCAGAAGCATCCCCTGTGACAACAGCAATATACATGTAGCACTGCTTTGAAAGCAGTCATTTATTCTTTTGCTGCAGAGCAGCAGGAGGGAGAAGAAGCTTGTGGGTTTGACAGAGCACAATACAGTCAAAACAACACAATACTGAGCACAG